ACAGGAGGGGGGGGGGGGCTGCAGGAGCTCCAACAAGCCGTTTAGGACAGAGAGTGAATACAAATACTATACAGAGATGCTGTATGAGAAACCAATGTGAGTTTGGAAAATTGCACAATGTAAATCTATTCGAGTAGACCTCAACTATGGAATTAAGATCAGTAGAAATGGCCATGACATGGGACCTTTAAAGCTGTGGGCAACTGTTTATGCACTTGGGGCATGGAATACCAGTGTTGAAATAGGCTCTAAGGTCTTTTTTGTCCAAAATATCAAACCATAAAATTAATTCTCACCTTAAGTACTGGTCATTCCTGTGTTCCATAACAACCTCCTGCTGTATCCTCAGTCGAGGCTCCCCCTTGAATAAAAGCAAACACACTGAATAAGCATGACATGATTAAATCCAGCAGCACAGTCAGGAGAGATTCCCCTCAGGCCTCTGCGCTCACCCCTTGCCGCAGGCGGCACTTCAGGGCATGGACACAGCCTCCCAGAAGCATCCACAGCAGAGACACCAGCAGGAGCCTGCCGCACACATCTTGCAGCAGCAGAGAGGGGTGCAGCGGCACCTCCACCTGGCACACTGACCACACTACAACCACAGGAGCCACACTGGAGCAGCCTTTCCAGGGGCGCAGCGTCTTCAGAGTCTGTGACCAACCTGTGTGCTGGGGCTGATCAACAACTGGGGTTTGGTGTGAACTTCTGAATAAAGGGGAAACAGAACAGGCTTATTGATAATTAAATAATGGGCTTACTTGCTGTACCTATAGGCATCTGAGTATGCTTTTTGTTGAGCTTACACACAGTTTCCCTCTTTCCCATGATGTGAACTATTCAAAATGATTATTCAGCAACCAACCAAGTCTTGTCAACATTAATTTGACCATGATTCAGCTGTTTTTTGTAATTGTTATGAGTTGTAATTTGAGAGTTGCCCTGGAGGATTTTTCTGGATTTATATGTTGGTATGTGCTTGTAGATTTGTCTCTATAATGTAGAGAAAGTGACTATGTAATGGCATTGCATCTAAATGTATTGTTATAAGTGTCTGTTGATTGTTTTGTGTATCGAGGTACTGCAATGATGAGAATAATATGTTTTAACGGCTAGCCTCAAGTAAGTACTTTTCTTTTAGATTACTAAAACATAAGGTTCTGAACTTAAATATGAAATGACTAAAATCTTTAAGGTTTTCTTATTTTTATTTATGTTTCAATTACTTTTTATGTAAATGCACTTGATAAAAATGTTCTGACAATGCAACTGTGTGTTCTTCAAACATAGCCTACTAAAAAAAAAATCTAATTATAAAACTCTATCAAGAATAAATATATAGAAGTCATATTGTTACTAAAAAAAAATCCTGAAATGTCCCCTTAATTTCTCGCAAATCTATGAATATATTAGGGAACAACAGATGCCATGAGTAGGAAAGTTACAGATTTGTTTCGCACTCTTCACACCATTTGGTCAATCTTTTACAATGATGGATCAGCTGAGCAACAGATGGTTCTCCCTACAGTACACCATCACTGTATGATAGACACTTCAGGTCTTTTAGCTCATGTCTGGTAAACAGTAGGACCCTGAGGTGAAACGTTGAGAGACATCTTCCTAATAGAGTAGAAAAACACACACTGTCAACAGAGATGTTCTCTTCCCCGTAGCAGAAGGTAATCAGAGACCTGCCACTCAGACGCTGATTCAAAGGAAAGGCCAGAAACACACAGGAACCTACCTCTGCTGAGTTTTCCTCCTCTCCTCGTCCTCTTTGACCTCCATCCATTTACAGACCCGATCTGCTCTCCCTCCCTGTCCTGTACCACATTTACCTTCAGAGTGGACCACTGTCAGCAGAGGCATGGCACCACAGACACACACATGCTGACTGAAAGTGCACCAGAGCCATTAGATCAAACATACACACCTCCTGGTATGTTATTAGGTCTGGGACATGACAAGCTTGATAAACTGGTTCTACTAGACTCTAGAGGATTGGTTTTTAAGTAGGTAGTGGCTCTCTCCTTTTCCCACCTTCCTTCCATGAAGGAATGTTTAGACATACTGATGACAATTGTGTTCAGGACAAGCCCTGCTGCACCCAACCTCTCCAAAAAAATCTAGTTTCTGTTCTGTGAATCACTGGCACACACTAACACTGAGCTATTTTTAGGTCAGGTTATCAACAACCTGGGATCTGAAGTTACATTTACAATTTAAATTACATTTATTAAAAATACATGTTAACAAATGGAAGAGAGACAATTAAAATCATGTACACCCTAATTAAGTTTGTCTGTTCAATTGTTATGTTCTAAATTAATTGTAAGATGCTGTAGAACTTGTTTCTGTATTTTGAGGCCACACCACCATCTAGCAGTGAGAGCAGGAATAACATCCAGATAAATCAAGCCGGACCTAAAGAGGACATATTATGCTAATGTTCAGGTTCATATTTCTACTTACCTCTACTGTTACATGTTTCCATGCTTTGATGTTCAAAAAGCTGTTTGCCTGTGCTGCAGCACCTCTTTTCACCCTCTGTCTGAAACCAGAGCCCAGTCTGCTCTGATTGGTTAGCTGGCCGGCTCTGTTGTGATTGGTCAACAAATTAGAGAAGTCCAGCATCACGTACAATGTGTTGGAGCGCAAGTCAATATAAGCTTGAATGTAGTGATGTCACTTGTTACAGAAGTAAACAAAGGAGTCCAATGGAGGAGTTTTAAGCAGGTGGGGGGGAAGAAACTCCCTCTTGAGGAACTTTGGGATTTTAGCCTTAGCAGAATGTTTACCATTTACATTAAAAAAATGGATATAACACTTCAGGAAAGGGAAAACTCCAAAAAGCATAATAGGGACTCTTTAAACTGAGTTTGAACCTGAAAACACCTTGGAATAGTTTGGGTTATTGAGGCAAACACATTCATATTGAAGTCATCTGAAAACACATTGTACAGATATAAAATAATTTAATTTCTCAACACATGGTCAAAATCGTCGCTCTACCTGATCAAACCAATTACATTCCTGCAATATTTTTTTTTTTTTTGTTTTTTTAAATTGTACAGCATGGCCTATTGTCATAGACGGATATAAATAACTTTTACAATGGCCGTTCATTTAGCCTGTGTTCTCCAATACTTATTCCCTCACATATTTGTGTGTGAACGGCTTACAATATTTTGTAGGTGAATAGATTAATAGAGTGGAATAGGCCTTTACTATCCTTAAATAATGCAACTTATTGAGTTGTCCCTATTTTTTTACAACTGCAACGCAAATATTTTTCACTTGTCTGTCTAAAAGCTTCTACAAAAAGTTGTGTTCACCCGTTAGGACAGATGACCAAGTTCACTGGCAGCTGTGTGGCTCTGGTTATCCTCAATGCAAAGAAACGATGGAGAACTGTAAGGAAAAAGAAAGTGAACTAAAGATCTGAAAATCTGTTTCTGTCCTCCAGTGTTCCAACTTTTCTTACTGCAGTGGTGTGTTTGTGTTCTCCAGGACGTACTTACATTATTTTTGCCATATTTCTGTGATGATTATCTTTTTTTTATCCTGTGAGCTTTGTAAAACTAAATGTACTTATTCTTGGAAAAGCAATAATAATATCTTCTTGAATATTTACTATAAGTGTTGTAGTTGTGACCATGACAAGTGAAAAGATATTTGGGGGAAAAGGACAATCCAGCATTTAAATAAAACAGATATCAGAGTCATTTACCAAAAACAAATTAATAGACAAATCACAGATAACAGCATTACGTTGTACACTCAATACAACAGATGGTGTGTTGGGCAAAATGACAATGACCTGTTATGTAAGGCCAAACGCAGGACTGTTTCAGTTCTGTATATCCTTCCATAATTGTCATCTACAAATACTTGACATTTTTTTTAAATGGTACAAATATGTTTAATGGGCACTCAAATCTGTGCAAGGACCGAACAACAAACCTATTTCACCACTTCAAACTCCAGTAGGTCACACAGAAGGACTTCGTGTTGCGTTTATTATCCTCGCGCACAGGAACACTGAATGTCATTTAGGTTCCTGTTTTCAGCAGTTTCATTTTAAAATCTTCTCCAGGGCTGTGTATTTAAAACAAGTTCAGTTTCTGTCCTTTATATCATCTGTTCAAATCAAACCTTTTCATTTCTCAGTTTATTTCCTCCCAAAGTTCTGGCAGCTTGCATCTCCACAGCTCATTAAACACTTCACAGACACATAAAACTGTGCTGCTCATCAGTCCATCCTCCTCTGTATAAAAGTCTCCATCTGACTGTGTGTTCAGGTATGAGCATACAAGCTGCTGAGGTATACATGCAGGACTCATCAAGTTCGCAGAGTTTATCCCTGTGCAGCTCAAGGTTTTGTGATGTGAACTTCACTAGTACCGCTGCCGTTGGTTGTCGTGGTGATGATGTACTGTGTTGTGGCTTGCTGATGGGCCGGCTGCTGCTCCAGATGTTCAGCGTGGGCCTGGGTTGTGTTCTGAGGAACGTTCTGCTTTGTCTCCAGCTCTGTCTGACCCTCAGAGATGACGTAGTGTGTCTGAAGGACAGGGAGGACAAGTGATAATGTTCAATACAGATTTTGTGTTATTTCCTATTTATTTAGAAGTACTTGAAGAGCAAACACATTTCGCATACCTTCATCTGGCTGGCTCAAAAGGAGACCAATGCTACAGCTAAATCATGTGTTTAAAAGCTACACACATACCCTATTTTGACTTTAGTTACAGTAAGTATAGTTTTAAGATGAATACAAAAAGCTGAAATAAATGTTAAGAAGATTCTAGGGTGCAGCAAAGTTGTTGTATTCAGTATACATTCTACCATATGAGATATATGTGTTGTATCAAGGGTTTTTAAATATACGTCCTGTTTATATGTCAAGCTTCAAGAAGATTTTTGAACTATAACCAATGTGGCACAGAGCAATTTTCAGTATTAGTTGTAATAATATCCTTTCATAAAAAAATGTTTTAAAACCATGGAGAACCTTCAGGCAGACCCTGAGTTCTGTGGAAATACAGGGTTGACCAATTAAATCATTTTTTGCCACTGATCTCCAGGTCAAACCTAGCTTGCTGCCAAAATGGAGCAACACTCCATTCAACAAAAGAAAGGACAATATATGGATTAGAATCCCTCGGCAGCTGGGATACGATAAAGATGGAATTGTGTCTGATATGCACTAGTTTACGTTAAAGGTTGGTTACAGAACTGGACCATCACCAACAGCTACCATTAGCATCATATTCTGATATGATGCTAATGGTAAAAAAAGGGTCTGATCGGTTGATGTATAGTCTAGTTAGCTTCGTTAGACGTTGTCTTTTTTAATGTTCACCAACCAACACAAATCATTATGTAAATTAGGTCAAATGAGTTTCCTCCTAGAGAGTGGCTGTGTGGAATGGACATGCATGGTAATTCAATGTGCACAGTTCTTTAAGTAAGAACAAGGGTGTACAAAAATGAAAGTGTAATAGTCATTACTTACATAACAGCAGGTTGTACTAGTCACTTTCAGGAATCAGGCACCATCACTCACCGTTTTCACCTGGTTGCTGTTGCCTCCGGATACAGGTGTGCTGGCCTCGGCTATCACATACTGGGCGTGAGGTAGAGCCATCATCTGGATCTCAGAGGCTGCCAGAGTAAGAAATGAATACATTAACAGGAGAGAAAATCACCGCAACTCTACACAGCTATCAAAAAGGTATAGGATTGATCATATGGGATCATGTGTGACTCACAGTAGCCTCTGTAGTTCCAGTTCCCGGGGATGTATGCGTGCTGCACCGCCCCCCCCTGCTGCTGCTGGCTGCTGCTGCTCTGCAGGGTGTGGCTCTGAGCCAAGGTCACAGGGGTCAGCTGGGTGGGGCTCAGCTCCTGACTGGGCTGCTGGGAGGTGGGGCTGAGAGGCTGACCGCTGACCTGAAGAGGAGGTTAGAGACAGAGGCCTTCTCTTATCTAGCCTGAAAGGACGGTTTTATACCAACATCTAGATACTTTTCTTTAAACTGTAAGTGTTACGTTTCAATCTAGATTTTTTCGAAATTGGGTTGCCATGTGGTGGTTGGTATCAGCCGTAGAGAAGCCTGCCTTTTGTTGGATATAGTAGCACTAGATGGTACTCGATTTGTGGTTCTCAAAAAAAAAAACGGTCTAGTGCACACTTCCTTCTGCACAGTGATACGTTCTAAAGAAAATAGTTCCTACTTGACAAAAATATCATAACATGGTCTGTGGATTATCTTGAGTAACACATTTTCCACCAAAGAAATGTGTTCCATATGTATATCCGATAGAGCTCTATATAGTCGATACTTCTTAAACTTCAAAACAGTGTAAATTGATCAATATCACTACACGTAAGTAGAAAAATCTTTGTTTTTATTAATATTTTTGGGGTGAACTGTTCCATGGGACATACCTTTGTATAAATGACTCATCAACTTTACTCGAGTAGTATTAATATTTACCTGTCCGGCCCCTTGTCCGGCGCCTGAGGGCTCGTTGACCTGGATGTGTTGAACCTGGATGGCGTGCTGGCTGTAGCCGTGAGGGTCGTGCAGCTGGCTCACATCCACTGTCGGGTGCTGGGAATGTGGGGAGGAAGCCTGTTAAACAAGAGAGAAATATCTATTTGTTACGGTTTATTCATCTCAATACACCACGCAAGAAGCTACATTCATTATTTCATCTGAACACTAAATGTTTAGAATACGGCATGAAGTAGAGGGTTCTTTACCTGCTGAAACGTATATGTAACAAAGATGTCATTATCTTTATTTTTAAAAGCAGCTGGTGGTTATTTTAAATGATTATATATATATACACCAATAAAACCTGAAGAACAATTGGATTATATTACAGGACTGTCTCAGAAAATTAGAATATTGTGATAAAGTTCTTTATTTTCTGTAATGCAATTAAAAAAACAAAAATGTCATACATTCTGGATTCATTACAAATCAACTGAAATATTGCAAGCCTTTTATTATTTTAATATTGCTGATTATGGCATACAGCTTAAGAAAACTCAAAAATCCTATCTCAAAAAATTAGAATAGTTCCTCAGACCAAGTAAAAAAAAAAGATTTATAACAGCAAAACACAATCAAACATTTGAAAATGTCCATTAATGCACTCAGTACTTGGTTGGGAATCCTTTTGCACGGATTACTGCATCAATGCGGCGTGGCATGGAGGCAATCAGCCTGTGGCATTGCTGAGGTGTTATGGATGCCCAGGATGCTTCAATAGCGGCCTTTAGCTCATTAGCATTGTTGGGTCTGGTGTCTTTCAGCTTCTTCTTCACAATACCCCACATATTCTCTATGGGGTTCAGGTCAGGGGAATTTGCAGGCCAATCGAGGACAGTAATGCCATGGTCAGTACACCAGTTACTGGTGGTTTTGGCACTGTGGGCAGGTGCCAGATCATGCTGGAAAATGAATTCCTCATCTCCATAGAGCTTTTCAGCAGACGGAAGCATGTAGTGCTCTAAAATCTCTTGGTACACAGCTGCATTTACTCTGGGCTTGATGAAACACAGTGGACCAACACCAGCAGCTGATATGGCTCCCCAAACCATCGCTGACTGTGGGAACTTCACACTGGATTTCAAGCAACTTGGATTTTGCTCCTCTCCAGCCTTTCTCCAGACTCTGGCGCCTTGACTTCCAAATGAAATACAAAACTTGCTTTCGTCTGAAAAGAGGACTTTGGACCACTGTGCAACTGTCCAGTGCTTCTTTTCCTTAGCCCAAGTCAGACGCCTCTTCCGTTGTCTTGAGTTCAGAAGTGGCTTGACCATGGGAATACGGCTATTGTAGCCCATTTCCCGGACACGTCTGTGAACAGTGACTTTTGATACCTGGACTCCAGCTTCAGTCCACTGTCTTTGAAGCTCCCCCAAATTCTGGAAGCGACTCTTCTTCACAATGCTGTTAAGGCTGCGGTCATCTCTCTTGGTTGTGCAGCGTTTCCTGCCACATTTCCCCCTTCCAACAGACTTTTTGTGGATGTGCTTTGAAACTGCACTCTGTGAACAGCTTGCTCTTTGAGAAATTTCTTTTTGTGTCTTACCCTCCTGATGGAGGGTGTCAATGACGGTCCTCTGGACAGCAGTCAGATCAGCAGTCTTCCCCATACTTGTGATTTAGTTTACTGAACCAAGCTGAGTGTTTTTCAAGGCTCAGGAAACCCTTGCAGGTGTTTCGAGTTAATTAGACGATTCAAGTGATTCGTTGAACACCCTACTAGTATACTTTTTCATGATATTCTAATATTTAGAGATAGGATATTTGAGTTTTCTTAAGCTGTATGCCATAATCAGCAATATTAAAATAATAAAAGGCTTGCAATATTTCAGTTGATTTGTAATGAATCCAGAATGTATGACATTTTTGTTTTTTTAATTGCATTACAGAAAATAAAGAACTTTATCACAATATTCTAATTTTCTGAGACAGTCCTGTATATGTCTATTTTGAGCATCTCAAGTTGTGTTTATACCAGGCAACTCCCAGACGTCAAGGTTTATCACTGTGATTGTAGGTTTCTTTGAGTAGCTCAGTCAGCTTTACAGGGAAAAAAATAAGTTACAAAAACAGATCTCAATCCGAAAACTGATCCTGGATCTTACCGGAGCCACCTGCACCACCTGTAGCTGGATGTGTTGCGGCTGCGACAGGTTCCCCCCCGCCTGAGACACTGGGATGTACTGGATCCTCTGGTAGTCTCCCTGCGCTGTGCGGTAGTCTGTGGTCAGAGTCTGAGAGAGCTCCGTCATGGCCTGGGTCAGCAAATCTGTGGTCTGTGGAGAAAATAAGTATCGTACCGTTATGACATCTGGTGTATATTAGGTGACACTTTCTTCTTTCTTTCGTCGTTAACTTCTTCTTACCACTACGGCCTCTGCTGTGGTTCCGTCCGCACTGATGACTGCAGGAGTGCTGCTGATGACAGCTGTAGTGAGAGGAGCCTGGATGGAGTTGGCGATTTGGGCGAACTCTGGATGCTTCTTCCTGATGTGCTGAACCATCTTAGTCTGAGAAATGAGCACACACGATATATTAGATGGTACGGTTCAGGACACAGGATAAAGTCAATCTCCGTATTAAAGTAATAAGACCTCTGAAGGATCTTCACACTGACCTTGCTGCTGTACTGTTTGGCACAGTGCGGGCAACACACCGGTGCCGTGGCGATGGTGCCGGTCAGCTGTGTGTGTGTGCTCAGCATGGGGTCCGGCTCTCCAGGAGCGGCGGGACGAAGCTTCCGGATGCTGGGAGGCAGCTCTGCCCCGGGGTGGTTCTTCAGGATGTGTGCTTTCCTCTTACTGGCACTCTTATACACCTGCAGGAGATCAATGTGTTATCATACCGAAAGTTATGGTTCAGATTTTGACACTAAATTGAAATATGTCACAGTAGAGGCACAAAATACACATTTGAATATGAAAGTCAACACGATAGGGCCCCTTTAATGAAAAAAACACCAACATGGTTATCAGGATTCCAGAGCCAAGCATCACTGACCGATCATTTATGTCCACGTCCATACAGCCCATACATGTTCCTGTTAGTGTTTACTTCCTGTCCGTCTTCTTCTGTCGAATTATCTGACATCCATAGTCTGTCTTTTAACATCTTTCTCTTCCAAAATGTTGTGCTCACCACATATATAAAAATTAATATTCAAAAAGTATTCCTTGGCGTTTTCTGATGAAAAAAATGTATGTTTGTTGTTCACAGCTGACGCTAAATCGGCCTGACTTCTTACTGCTGATTGATATGACTGAAAATAGTCTAACCAACGGTCCGTTGACCTTAACAGCGGTCAGAATCGAGTAATCAAGTAAGCCCTGTAATAAACCAAAAAGACATCTTCTCCTAAAGTCACACAACTGGATGGGGGAAACAAACCTTGTCACAGTACTGGCAGAAGTAGTCCCTGTTGGGCTTGATAATTGGCAGTGTGAGCTCAGGTACGTCATCAATACGCATCTCTGGGTGACGCTTGGACAAATGATTGACCTGTAACCAGAACAAAAGTGAGTAAGAATAATGGAATATAATCTTTAAAAAAATACATTTCTCTGTGAGTTGTTGCTCACCAGCATTCCTCTGCGTCTGAATCCCATCATGCACACTCTGCATTTGAACATGAAGCTCTCGAAGTCGGTGGTGGGCACCTTGAGCTTCAGGGTTTTGGAGCGATGGATGCGGTCCGACTTCTTGGCCTCTCTGTCGGGGTTGTGCATGCGATGCATGTGCTCACGCAGCTTATCTTTCCTCTGGATGTCACAGGAAAATCATTGTCACATAACAGCTCACAAATATATATATATATATGAACTAACACCAAAAACTGTCCTCTTCCAATGCTCACCTTGAACTGTTTGCCGCATGTTGAGCACAGGAAGTCCTTGCGGTCAGAGTGGCGTAACATGTGCAAGCGCAGCTTGTCCGGCCGGCAGAAGATCTTCTCACAGTCTTGACACTGAAAGACCCGATCTGAGTGGAAGCAGCGGATATGCTTCTTCACCTAGAAGGAAGACAAAGTGTATCTATTCACTTTTTGGCTAAATCCGCGCAAGAAACATTTATAACAAGCAGTAATAAATCAATTGTACCTGTTGATTATGAATTTTTTTTTTTTTAAAGATACTTTTAGGATAAAGTATTTTTTTATGCCTCTTTGCACACTGCATTGACACATTTCAAATGTTTTTTTGGGTCAGGCTAACAGTTTTTCTTTGGTTTTTGCCTCTCTGGCAATGACTCGTTTAGTTCTTACCATTGTTAATTAAGGTTGTCACAATACCAGAATCTTGAGGTTGGATAATGATTGTAGGAGCCATGAAATGTGTATAGTAATGCGTTTTCTTTTAATATAGATATTTGTTTGATCACTATTGATTGGTTAGCTTTGGTCACATGGATATGGGTGGCACTCATTATAATCCTGTTCACCTGCGTGAGGTGTGTGTGTGGAAGAGAGGGTGACACAGGGTCGTTGTACCTTTTGTTGACCGCAAGTTTAATGATTGCTTTGATTAATATAACAATGGACACGTCCAAGGAAAATAAGTTGATCATCCCAGATTTCATTAAACCACATTATTTTTCAACACAGTTTTGGATCTCAGCAAGTACTCTTTTGTAGCGTGTCACATAATATCAAACAGGCCCGGCCTCAGCCTCTCAGCGTTTGTTTCCTGCTGCCGCTATAATGATACTAGTTTGAAAAAATCTTCATCATTCCTCCTCACCAAATACGATTTTTTTTCTTTTTACAACTTGCACACAATGCTGGCATATAAGAAGTCACTAAACACATAGATTACATGTTTATCGTGCGTTTTTCATTAAACATTGATCAAATAATATGAACTACACCATGTTAAAAAGGACATTCTCAAACCCAAACACATTTAAAAATCAAAGTGCTCCAGGTCTTTTTTTGGTATTTGGTACTTTGTAACCTTGTTTATTAGAGTGCTATACAAATAGTTATGATAACTAACCTGGATGAAGTCGGGGAAGGTTTTCTTGCAGGACGGACAGGTGAAGCAGCCGTTTACTGCGTGCTCTTTCACGTGCTCTTTGAGCATTTCCAGCCTATCAAAGATTTCGGGACACAAGAGACAGGAGTAGGAGCGCTGTTCCGTGTGCAGCAGCATGTGGTCGTCCAGCGCCGAGTCGCTGATGAAGCTCTTGTTGCAATAGTGGCAGGAGAAGGCGAAAGCGTCCCGGCCGTGGACCCGCAGGTGCTGGTCCAGCTTGTCTTTGTCCCGGAAGGCCTTGCCACAGTGTGTGCATTTAAAGGGACGGAAACTCTTCCTGATGAAAAGGTGCTGCAGCGCTGCATTCTGGGAGGGAAGAGAGAGAATAACTACTATCAGACCACAGCAACATTGTTTACAGACACTGAGGTGGGAAGAGGCTGATGGAGTCAATGGGGTTTGCAAAGGGTAATATCCCCAAATGTCACAAAAGCATTAAAGGTCCCCTATGATACTGTTTTTCATCAATATATTACAGGTCTCAGTTATATACAAAACATGTCTCTGGCATGTCTTTGGCTCAAAATACCGAACAGATCATTGTAGCATCCCATAAACCCCTCTGTTTTAGCCCTGTTTCAAAAGTGCTGATTCTGTGTCTGTAGCTTTAAATGCTAATGAACTGTTGCTGGCCACACCCCTCTGAGAGATATTTGGTTAAAAAAAACACAAAGGTGCTCTAGGAGGAGATTCAGGTGATAAGGTGGGGGTGGTGTTAGCTTGGTTGGTTATTGGCTAATGGTAGCACAACCCAAATAAACATTATGACATCACAAAGAGGCCAACATCTGATCAGCTCATTTTCAGACAGGTTTTTATATTAATGGATCAGGACAAAAAGTGAGCGGATCTTTTTTCCTGAAACTTTCAGAATCTCTTTACGCAGAGGGGACACATGTTTATGTATAAAAGACATGAAAAAGTGGATTTTGCATAATAGGTGACCTTTAACATCATCTAAAATGACAATAGGAATCATTGAAGTGAATGTCTCGGTGCCGTCCTCCAGCTGCTACATACCTGCACATCCATCTTGGAGGGGAAGCAAACATTGAGGAAGAGAGACACACTGTTGTAAAGCAAATTGTGGCTAATAAAATAGCTTTATTGCATTTCAGTGAATGCAGCAGTCTTACCCGTATCTTCTTGGCACGGCGCATGTCCTGAGAGGTGAGGTGGGTGTCTGATTGGCTGCTCTGCGCCGGGTCTTCCTTCAGTGGAGCTGGCAGGTCGGTGCCGCTGGGGGGGCTGCTGGCCTCTGGGACCGCCCCCCCCACACCAGGTGTCATCTGGCCCTCTGCCTCAGTCCCAGCCTCCGCCTCAGACTCCATCTCCACCACCTTCAGCCCGTTCTGCGCTCCGTCCACTTGCTCCTCCAGAGGCTTCTCCGTTAATTCCAGAATCTCCTGATTCAAAATGTGGATAGCAAATTTCTCAGAGGCAATCGACTAACCCATGAATCAACATGCTGTGGATTAATGTGTCCCTTACTGTTGTCTTGTCGCCGTCTACTGGTGGATCCAAACGTATGAATTTAGGCGGGCGTCCCGGCCTTCTTCCTGTCCCAAATCTCCTCCTGCCTCTTCCTCGACCCCGGCCTCTGGATCTAACAGAGGAAAGAATCCGTTAGCGGGTCATTTATTTCATTGTCATTTATTCTTATTTTGTTTATTTTCATTTTTTATGTGTTATTAAGTGTTATTTTTAATCACAAATGTGTTAAGATCAGTGAAGTAAAGTAACTAAGCTCATTTACTCAAGTACTGTCCTTAAGAACAACTTTGAGGTACTAGTACTTTAAATTGAGTATTTACATTTTTTGCTACTTTTTACTTCTACCCCAATATCTTCTATTTTTACTCGACTACATGTATTTAGTACCTTTAGTTACTTTACAGATACGGATGAATGATGTGAAATATAATCAAGTGTTAAATCAGACTTTAGTTCCACCTGGAGTAAATCCACAAGCTACCCTGCAGTATACAAAGTCATTCAAACTAGCTGCACCTTCACCAGCTTTGAGAACACTTTAATGATTAATCATTATAAAACATATCATATCTATTATTCTGAAATGGACCAATCTGCACAATGACTACTTTTACTTTTGGTACTTTTAGTATCATTTGATGCTAACACTTGTGCTTGTACTTTTATTTGAGTAACATTTTTGATTGCAGGACTTGTACTCCTACACTCTGGTACTTCTACTTTTACTTAAGTACAAGATCTGAATACTTCTAACACCTCTGGTTATCACCTAGTAAGGGAAAGATATTACTGTTCTTATTTGAAAATTGTTTACAGTGTGTGTTTGGTTTGTGAAGCACTTTGAGTTACCTTTGTGTATGAAAAGCACTATATACATAAAGTAAAATTTCTCCATAGAAATTAAAGAGAATGTATAAAAGAAGGAGATATAAAACAAGTGTTTACCTGGTCACAGAGTTTGACTTGTCGTCGTGCATGTCGAGGTGCTGCTGCAGCTGTTCAGAGCTCACAAAGCGCCGGTTGCACTCGTAACAGGGCCAGTTCTTCTCCTGCTCCCTCAGCACTGATGGAACAGCAGACAGTGAGAACAGCAACAACCCTGACAGTGTTGTACTAGTTTGTGTTGATCCGAGTTCATATAAAGTAGAATGTGCAGGGACTCACCTTTTCTCTCTTCTTCTGTAACATTGTGGATCTTCTCATTGACAAACTCTGCATACGACGCCGCATACCACACCTGCAGAGGGAAGTATTATTAAAAAAACAAATAACAGTTGCCTATTTAGAAAACAGAAAATATTGACATCTTCTCAATATTTTATCTGTTTGTTATTATCATCATCATTATGTTATGTTAGATTAGATATACTTTTATTGGTCCCAGTTTGAGAAATTATTTTCTCACAGCAGCATGTAGGGCAGGGGTATTCAACTAAAATTCAACGAGGTCCAGTCAGAGAAAATCTCCCCATGCAAAGGTCCGGAACATCAAAATGTCTGACTTGCTTTATGAATTAGTGTGATATATATTGAAGTAGCTGTAGCTTTATCAACGTCTGCATGTAATCAACAACTGACTGCCAATCAAATAAAGAAAGTACAATTTAAAAACAACAATATTTATTGTCAATTAACATTGAACTATACAGATATACAGTAAAATACTGTGGATATGTGTAATGTTCCTCTCGGCTGCATTTAAAATAAATAAAATAGCTTTTGAAAATGTGTGCATCCTAAAAGTGCTTAATTTTAGATAAATAAAATAAAGTGTAGCAGCAGCTTGAGTTTCTCTTTTTCTTTGTTAACCGTTTCACATCATGACTTAACAGTTTCAGACGATTATAGAACAATATCAGTCTAGGGATGGGTATCGTTAGGATTTTATCGATACCGGTACCGGTACTGCTTATCGGTATCGGTATTTTTCGATACTCTTATCGATACTTTTCAATAATTTGGTGTTAATAAACTAAAAAAAGACAAGGCGATGTGCCTGCAAGACTGCACCCAGGTAAACAAAACATATTACCCGTGCGCAGCAGCTAACCTGCCTGCGAGCCTTCGCTCAGGTCACATTTACACACGGCGCGGCTGAAGCCCGCTAGCACTAATAGCACTAGCAGTATCGCTGCACCGTTTTAGATTCAATGAGTGTCTCGGTTGCAAATGCTTCATTAAGTTGCTTGTGTCACCCCCTTTACAAGCAACTAATTGAGTACATAGATTGCATCTTGCACTATCGCCAATACATTTTTTTAAAGTGCACCCAGACCTTGGATCGCTTCGCTCTGTCCGCCATGCCTGCGGGAGTCTCACAACAATAATAAGAGCGCTGTTGAGAGAGATGAGGAGTGGCGTTTACAGTGGCCAATCAGAGGGGTGTCAAACCGGATACATCACACGGGATGAGGGTTGCCAACCAACCAGAATGGTTTAAAGTTAAACTAAGGAAGTAGACGTAACAGATATATCGATAGCAGCACCGTTTGTCCAGCGGCTTAACGGTATACCGATACCGTCCAATCAG